GGGGGGGGGGACGAAGGGCAGCAGGGCATGACCCTTCGCCGCGTCCGGCTCAGGAAATGGGGGGAAATGGAAGAAAATATTATGTGCCCCAATCACGTTGCATGCTGTGACCCTCCAGTCCCTCGCCTCGAGTCGACGAACCGGACCGGCTCGATCCAGCCAGGCCAGAGCCAGCAGCCTTCACCATCCGACCGCCTCCACCTAGGCAGGCTCGGTCGGAGAGCGCCTGGCGGGTAGGCCGGCCCGGCCGACACCGACGCAAGGCGTTGCCTACCCGCCCGGCGCTCTCCGCCGATCAGCAGCGGAGAGGCTGTGGTGGCCGAGTCAAGACGGGCGGGCGATTCAACTTGACGAGAAGGAATTTCAAAAAAAAATTGGAGTAATATTTAGTGGTTGACGCGAATTTGTATAGACTGACTTTTGTGCTTGGAGGCATTTTCAGCATAGGCGCCAATCGCCACATTATTTCCTCGTCGTAGGCGGAAAAGGGACGCCTAATCGTTCGATTATCGGCTTGTCGCTCGTCGAAGCGCGCAGAGCGGCGCTGAGCATATGGCGCGCGGTGACACCGCCTGCCTCGGAGCCGAGGCGGCAGCGGCGCCTCCCAAATTCAATTGCCATCTTAAGGAGCTCCGGCGCAGAGCTGCGGCGGCGGCGCGACTGTCAATAGAGCGGGGGGCCCCGGAGCCCTCTAATTTGTGTTTGCGAATGACAAGTAGAGTCCTCCTCGTGCAAGTCGGAACGGAATGAATTGGGTCTTGGTGGAAATACAAAAGGATCCCCGGCCAGACTGTTGACAGTGGTCCTCCGCCCCCACCTCCACCCACCCCGGGTCCTGCCCACTCGGACCACCTCTGCGCCCACTCACCCCGCCCCGCTGAACCTCGCACCGGCTCCCTGACTTGCGTCACGGTGATCACGGGGCGCTACCCGATTGTGGTTTCGCGAGCAAGTTTTGCGGCTGCGCTCGACTCAACCGGGACAAGCCGGACAGGGAGAGAGAGAGACGGAGATAGATAGAGAGAGCGACTCAAGCCGATGCGGGCTGTGGCCTCGGCGGGACGGCCGAAATCCACTGTAATAAAAAAAAACTGTGTCTCTTAATCCGAAAATTGTACGAAAGGTTGTTGGATACGGAAACGTAATAGGAAACATATTAGGACTTATGCCGCCACAGTAAATCCAAACAGCGGCAATTAATACAGTTATTTTTTGTTGGAATTTGGGGTTTTTAGAGATATATTCAACAAGTTATTGCCTTACGTTCGTGTATTATAGGAAACAAAACTTTTTTCCCGCGAACAATTTAATTTCGACACACTAGTTTCAGGCAGCGCGATATTTCTAAGAATTGGGAAATCTTCCGGCGTCGGTTCCTGTTCTTTTAGAACGCAGTCCTTTTTAGGCCCCCCCAAGGGGGCCTTTCTGCTCGCGTGCGAGTGCTTCTTATTCTTCCTCCGAATTCATTAAGGTAGCGCGACTTCTGTTGTAAAGATTCTAATAAAATTTTATCGAAAAATCAATCCAAAAATTAGATTTCATTTGACTATAGCCTCATTACAATCCTTCTGGCCAATTTTGAGAAAATTAAAGTTAAACATCGAAATTTTCACGAAAATCGGCAAAATCCTGCCAAGCCAACAATGGTTCGCACTTCTAGCATTCTTTCTGTTGATCCCTGCGGCTTACATATTCACTTAACAGTAAAACGTATGAGACAAAAATTCAAGACCGAAAATTAAGCTTCCGAACGATATGTTCAAAATTTTCGTGCGACGTTCCAGTCGACAACCACAGCAAGCTGAATAATATGCGACATTTACGCTTATTCTTCGTGTCTTGTTTTTAATTTCTAGCGCAGTTAGTATTGATTTAAACAGGGAAGTGTAAGCGAGCCGATTGTGCACCGTTCTTTAAGCTACCGAACAAGCTTTTAATCGATGCCATAAAATATCCCAATCACAACTTCTACCGGTTTAAAATCAAAGCTGCACAGTTTGTTTAGAAATGGGCGTGGCCACGAAAATCCTGGGTAAAGGAGGCGTGGCTTCTAACAATGGTACCAACCTTTGCAAACGAACTCTGTTCATGTTTTTGGATAAATTGAGTGATGTACTCTCCTCACTTTTATGTTCAACCCACCTTTAATAACCCCTTCTTTAGCGATTTCGCGTGCACTTCAGAGGTGGTTAAATGACATGTGTTTGAATAATTGTAACCATGAGTAAAAGTTGCCATTGCCGGGGAATGCCCACTATAAGGCGCTTGCCTCGCTGTTGGTTTTGTTATTGTGGTGACTTCAGAACCAAGAGCCACAACACTAACCATCAAGTTTTGACGACTTCCCTCTCTTCTGATTTTCAACGCTAAATCTATTGAAGTGATTAATTAAATGATTATTTCTTCGTGTGCATACGATTGTTTGTTAAAACTTCAGGGGCCGATTAACGCGTTAGCGTTAGAATTTTTTAAATTTTAAACAGCGGCTCTGTTGTGCTCTATACACTATGTTTGCCCTAAAATCTTCCCTCACTTTTCTGAAAGAAACCTCTAGCGTGCCACTTTGCTACATTCCCTCCCCTTAAAAATAAAAAACTAAAAACAAAACTCTCTGCTTGTGAGCGAGGTAAGACCCTCTCCCTCGCCAGACCGGCCCGAGGCTCGAGTCCTCCGCCCTCCACTCCACACCCCGCCACGTCCACCCGTGCGTGCGTCCTAAAGGGCGTTGATTTAGTGTGCGCCCTAATTTCCGCCACCGTGTCCAGAATGCGAGTAGCGGCGGCCCGACCAGACCCGGCCGTGCGTGTCACGAGAGAAGCACCCGCGAGGCACACTGAAAACGATGCGGCCTCCTCCGCACATGCTCTGAACTTTTTGGCATCCCTCCGTGAACGCCAGTTATTGGCGTCCTACTGAAGAGTGTGACATCACTGGAAAAAAGGATGCTAATTCCAACCTTACAGGCACTAAAACTGCCACAAAGGTACTAATTTTAGCTCCTTTAGGGCCCTTTCGCGCCTTTATAGAGGCGCTGAACTAAAATATATCCTTGGGACCCTAGGAGGCACGACTTGGCACCTTTGTTTTCCCAGTAATTTTGGCGATGAAAAGTGCCACAAGCGGCTGGACCGCTAAAGAGGCTACGAAATTGACGATCTTAAGTCGACTTGCCGAATTTTGACACGCAAGACAGAAGCCACGCACAATTTGAGGCATATTGCGAAGGGGATTTACCAGAATCGAGCAGAGCGTGAGAGTTTAGAGAAAACGGACGGATGCGAGATTGAATGTCCCTCTCCTCATGCGGCCGGTGAACCACAGCAGCCCGGCCGGCGCGGCCTCATCAGCGACTGACTGACTGGACGGGCGGACGGACGGACGGCGGCCGGAGATCCAATTTGGGTGCGCGCCCCAACCAATCGTCTTGCCGCCCCTCCCCCCGGCCCCTCCCGCCCCACCAATGAGGAGAGGATTTCGGACGGGCGGCCCCCCCTCCTCCCTCCCCCACCCCGGCGCGCGCCCCTTTGAGCTGCCCCCTTATTTATGGCCTGTTCAGCGTCCCGTGCCCCGCCCAGCCCTGCCAGCTCTGCCCCACTGTAAAAGACCCAATGCCGCGTTTAGGCGCAACAAGCTGCTGCACGGAGACGACGCTGCCGATGCGGGGCTGCCGCACCGAACGGCCGTCCGTGCATGATTGTCCTCCCCGTCCGCCCCGCATCACCACACAGCCCCGCGAACACCCTAACACCGGATCGCCCGCAACTGCAGGACCTCT